CCCTCGTCCTGTCGTTCCTTCTTCCTTTTCTCTCGTCCTTTCATCCTTCTCCCTTCCTCCCGCCGCAGCCGTAAGAGCGAACGGAGGAAGCGACCGATTAAGTTTTTGTTCGCTCGAGAATTAGAGGTCGAGCGGAGCTGATGTCGAGACGGCGAGAGAAGCGAAAGAAAGAGGAAACCGAGCGAGAAGGAGGGAGGAGCGATCCGCAGCCGAGGAGGAACGTATACGCGGACCGTCGCTGGAGCCGTCGAATGGGCCGATTCCAGTTGCTGCTCTCGATTCTCTCTCTATAATGCCGAGGATGATCGTCACGGATTCGGGAGAGCCTCCTCGCTTCACGGGACACCACGGGACCTTTGTCTTCCTTCCCACGGCAAATCTTCTTTACTTTTCCGCCAGCCCGTGACGCGCCTCGCTCGTGGGGTTCTGAAGCGTCGTTGATGCAATACGAGGCAAATCGAGAGATGCCTTCTTCGAAACTGACGCGACAGAAACCGCGATATCACGCAAACCGGCTACGGATAACTGTTCCCGTGCTAATCATCGCGTGGCTACTGGATCTGGTAGCGAATACTACACAACCTGATCATAGTTGCAAAACGGCACGCAGAAATATGTTTCTTGCACGGTTTATTTCCCTTGACATAATTTTTCGCGCCAGCCGCCTTTTGCGAAAGGCTTAATTTATTCAGCGACACGCGACGACCGGGTAATTTGTACTCAAGTATAGATTATATTAACCGTAATGAGGAAATATTTGTCCCGACACTGACACTTTGCGGCGACATTTCTTTTCACGGCCTTCCTTAGTGCTTTATTTCTCATCGATAGAGGTGGAATTATTTAACGCCAGTGTATGATTAACCAATGTAGAAAATTGCTGGACGACGCTTGGCTGGCAAATTCTAATTAAAGAATTTCATTGCGAAAAATATTACCTCAGCCTGGGTCTGAACCTGGACCTCTAGCAGAAAAATAAACGCGAAGATGTCATCAGTAGTACTGTTTATTGCGATAAATATTACCATATACCTCGGTGGTCGAATTGGTGAGACGCCCGCCTAGAGTGTAGGGAGGTCCAGATTCAAACCCAGGCTGAGGTAATATTTTTCGCAATGAATTTCTTTAATTAGAATTTGCCAGCCAAGCGTCGTCTAACAATCTTCTACATTGGAAGTCGCGCAGTCCTGGTGTATCCGTATCAGTGCTGTTCGATCGGAAACTTTGGTGGTATCGTACACTTTTTTCTTCCCTTTTATTATGGATATCCGCCCCTGCTGGAACACAATACCACCCTTCCTCCCAGGTCTTTCTCTCACGCCCCTCCCCTCTCTCCTCCCCATCTTCCATTCATCATACATGCAGGGTGAACCGTATAATTTAACCACCTTGAATATTTCCGTTGTTAGCGGACCGATGCAAATTTTTTTTCGTGCTGAATAACCTGATTCACATGTGCGCTCGCAATGGTATAGTAAAGACGCATCTCTTCTTGTCGTGCTTAAGGGAGTATACTGGCGTGATTCTACACCTTTTGCTAGAACTGTCAATTCATGAAAACATTTGTGTAATACACAAATTACGTGGCTTTTGTGTACAGACCAACAGTGTTCCACTATTCCGGCTAAACTGGAAAACAGCGTGGTATCATTGAAACTAACAATAAGTTTCGAAGCCTAACAAGAAATCTATTTACTTAAATAAATTATAGGTTAGGTAATGTATAATTTATTCCGACTAATTTAGTCCGAGTAGTGGAACACTTCTGATCTGTACGCACAAGCCTTATAATTTCTGTATTACACAAATGTTTTCATGATTTGACAGTTCCAGGTAAAAAAAGTGCCAAAGTTGCAGAATCACCCCAGCATTCCCTTAAGGGGATCCTAAAGCCGTCTGTTTTATCGACATTCTTTGTTAGAGGTAATCTTCCAATTGACTTTAATATAGAAATGCAAAACTCTTTTACGGAATTAAAGTACGCAGCAAAATCAAGATTATGCTGGTCGATTTTATATATAAAAAAATATTTTACTAATTTTTGGTACACTTGACGACAATATTTGCTTGATACAAGAATTCTACAATAAATATATACCAAATGAGACCAGCATACTCTAGAGACAACATATAAGAACAATATCGTGCAATTACAATAGAACTAAGATTAATAGCCCAGAAAAAAGAGCAGTATGGCGTGTAGAAATAGTTGCAGGCTTTTTCGAGAGTGATCGCTGCCAAACATCTGTCAGATTGTCAGTAAAGCCATGGTGTTGACAAAGCTAGAATCCGATCCAAAATCTCGGTCTGAGCAATGTGTAGTTAATAAAATTGCTGCTTTTTCGTTAAAGTTGCAAATTGATTGGTTATAAATTTCTCGGGCCGAATTCTAGCATCGTGAACTTGGAATTAAAAATGACGATAATTGACATTTTTAATTCCGTCTCCTATCTTATCGACACTGATCGAGTTCGCCAGCGGCTTTAGGGTATCCTTAAACAAAACGAACGGGCGAATCAGTCCATTAGCAACAAATATGTATTCAAAGACGGCCAACCTGTCTCTCGAATGTGTTATTGCTTCGGTCTAAAAACTCGAAGCACAGGACAAACTTGTTTTATCGAGAGAAGAGAAAATGCGCCGAGCGGAGCACGCGTGTGTCGGAAATGTTCACCAGTCGGCCGCGGTGTAGTCCAACCTCGTGCGAGCTGCCGCGGGTAATAACGCGCGCAGGATGCAGGGGCGTGTACACGCATAAATAAGGCAGCGCGCGTTTCCACACATCTCGCATACCTGATCTTTCGTCAAACACGCGTTCCACCTGCTGACCCCCACGCGCGGGGTCAACCGGCACGCGCCCGGTATATCTGCGGCACCGCCGCGGTGATATATCCTCGCTCGCCGCGTAAATCGTCTCGCGATTGCATTTGCGCAACCGCCTCACGGCGAGGTCTCTCCGTGCTCTCGCGCGTATCTCCGATATCGCATCGATTTCGAAATCAAGGGACACGGTGGTGTCTCGCACCAAGTATAAGGCCCAATCTGCAATGCGTTCTTTGCATCTAGAAACATTTTATATACGCAAATCACCCTTGGAAAAATAAACCTTAAAAAGCCTTAAAATTTTAACAAATTAATAAAATTCGTACGGCTCAAATGTGACAAACACGAATTTGGAGGAATAAAGGACTGAGGGCCGTGACAGGATGTTAGTGTCCAAATATCATCTTTTAAATTTATTACGAAACCCTCAGCCAGGGTTGGAAATTTTACTTTAGAATTTTACTTTAGAAAAATAAGAAATATGAAAAAGTAAAGAGTGAGAACAAGTGCTCCGTAGGCAAATGGCCCCATTTTTTTCGCATTCGATTTCGGTCGCAAAGTAGGTACCAAAGGTCTCGTCAAGCTGATTACAGATATGTCAGTCTCGGAGTGTAGCTAAAAAAATGGCGCGACCTTGCGCCCCACTGGGAGATACCGGGATTGAAAGAGAATTTGTTTTCGACCACTTCCCGGGATTAACGAGGTGTGTTTTTAGACCGTCGCCACGGTCCGGTGGACAGCGGATAACACCGGCCGATAAAGGTGATCGGTATTAAACGTAACGTAAAAAGACACGCGCTCGTGCATCTTTCGCTGTTACACGCGCGCACCTGGGGTTTACATCGCGGAATAGAAAAGCTTATTTACGCGTGCGAGTATGTAGGTGCGTGCGTGTGCGTGTCGGTAGGTATATGCCTAGTTTTTCCTCGCGCGTACGCTTCGTCCAGATGGATGATGCAGCGCGTTCCTCGCGCCGTTGCACAAAGGATTCGGTCCGCACTGTCTTTGATTCACCTGATTTTGCATCCTCGCAGTCGCGCATTCATACACGCGTAAGAAGCCTCCTCGAGGTGTTTGCGGCATGATGCGGCCGTACGCGGTTACACCGGTGGATTAGAGGGAACAGTTACAACGACTGTTGCGATCTAGTGTACCTCGATAAGCCTCGATAATGGCCAACTTTGGATAAGAAAAGCCGTCGTATCATCACTTCCATTCAGCGACAATTTCTCCACCGCGCTCCGAGAGCGAGTGCTCGAAGAGCGTATCGTATCGCTTTGACCGATCATACGTCGATTATTTTATCGTTATTATTACTGTAAATCAATAATAACTCATTGTGCGACTCGATGTCACGACCGTGTGATTGGTACACGACGTTGCAGCGCACTGACGGTAGACCAATGTTGAGACCGTGTACACCTCGGGTTGTAATATTTTGCCGACGACGTGGTATGCGCCCCGAAATTGCATCACCGCAGAAAACATAGCCCTGACATTATCAAACTGGTTTCGCGAAAAGGACGCGAAATTTCTGACGTATGGGATTTCGTGCGGTCGCTTTGGAAAGCGTTCCATTTTCGAATGGTGTTAACCATCGATGCCGGCGCTTTCCCTCGTCTAGTGTGCAATTAAGTGTATTTAAAATTTATCTGTTTCGTTACACGAATCTAATATATCTTCTTCGATCTCCCTGTTCCCTCTCTTTCTCGTATATGCAAACGTGTGACCGTTTCGAAACGCGGCTTTCTCGGGCTTTGCTTTCGCCCTCGAATGAAACCGGGTCCGACATCCATTATAGATCAAACGGATATTTTTAGGCGAGACATTAATTGCGGTCTTTCTTTTTGCAAACGCACACGCAGCCCGCGAAAAGGAAGAGGTCCCGCCACGCGATGCGGGCACGCAGGCGTATGCGGCGCGATGAGTGAATGCATAATAGTGAATCACATCTTCGCCGAAGAAACTAGATCATTAAGCCATGCAACCTTGGGTTTCTTGCCAAGTTCAGTGCACTGTCCGGTCGACTACGCTGAATATACCTATCCCGGCAGTATTTGCTTCTCTCGCGTCTCTCCTTCCAAGGTCTAGCCGCGTCTCTCTTTCTCTCACGTGGTGCTGTTCGCTTTTCTCTCTCCGCATCCTCTCCCGGCGTTTCCCTTCCGCAGCGCGTACGCGCGTGCATGCGTGCGTACACGCGCGTGTACGCACGTATACACGCAGGCAGAAGCCTCTCTACGCTTCTCTCTCTCTCTCTCTCCTCTCTTCTCGTTTCCTCTCTTCTCTTCTCTTCCTCTGTCCCTCCACCGCGTGACCGCTGCGTTTTTCTACGCGCCGCCGTTGTCGGCCGTCCCGAGGTACGGGGAGCCATCTAAGCCTATCCTAGTTTTTGCCTAGGCCTGACCAAGTCGCAACGAGAGAGTCTGGCCTGCCGCTGTATTTCAAGCCATCTAAGGCATCGGACTACCCTCCACCTTATACGATTATATCCGCCGCGCCGTGCTGCGCCGCGCGAATCCAAATGCGCAAGAAGTGAGGACGAGGAGACGGAAGGGCTTCGCTCCTTGGACAGTGATAATGACGTGAAATACGCCTTTATCTTCTATCGTAAATACTTCATTGTTTGTACTCCTTTACCCGGTACTCGGGACCAGCTTGTTCAGCACCAGCAGGTGCGGGGAAGCAAAAAGTGCCATTAAATTGATACAGGAGACCCCTATATTCGTTCGATGTTCTTTTTTACAAATAGCAACGAAATTAACGCTCAGATAATGTTTATCGAAACGATGCTCGTTATTTTCAATATATTTTCGTGCTTATTGAAGAAAACGCCTGGATCTGCAGCTTTATTTAAGACAGAACTCGACGAGCAAACGCGCCGCGTATTATATTTGTTAATAAACGGAAGAATTTTTATATCGCCGCGCTATTGAAATGCATTATGAGGAGTGGAGGCAGGAAGACCTTTGAACATGGACGTTAGACATAGTAATGACGTAGGAATACGCCATCATTTTCTATTGTAAATCTTTGATGGGGCTTTTCTCTTTGAAAGCGGGGTCATCTAACCGCAACTACCTGGTAGTAGCGTTAAGAGAAGAAGAAGCTGCCAGTTAAGAGAACTGTCATACTTTCACGATACGTTTGTGCAATTTTATGTATTTACGTACCTCAGAAGCGCTTAGGCGTTTGAATCGTTGATTCGAGGCTCTTTTTACGAGGAAACATTTCCCCGTCGATTACACCGCGCGATTTCTGCCGGGCGTTCCTCTCTCCGCTTCTCTAAAGCCGCGAGAAAATTTTCGGGGGATAAAAATCGACCCCGCTCATTGCCGGATTAACGTTATGAAAGCACGTCTATCTACTCCGCACGTGAAGACGCGATAGCGGATGGAGGGAGGGCCTTCCGGACGGGAAGTACGCGTCGGGCATTCTGCACCAGGGATATAAAACACGGTAGTAAACCCAATTATCAGCGTCTTAGCGAAAACGCGGAGTTCCAGCCTCGGCGGGATCCGGATTCTCTCTCTTTCTCTCGCCTCTCGAAATCGCCGTTGCTTTTCCGGCGAAAATCCCTCCGGCGGAACCGCAAGCACCGCGGCATAAAGTTTTATTACGTTGAGCAAGACGCCGTCTTGCGCGTCGATATTTTTCCCGCGACTTTTTCAGAACCGCGCGCGAACGTAAGGTAACAAGGCTTTAATCGTTCTGAAAATTACGTCGCGCGTGAAACGCACGGCGTTACGACACACGAGCCGCGCTATTACGTGAAATCTTCAAAATGCTCACCTCCGGCGTTTTACGGCGGTATAAAAAGGGGTATAAACGTGGAAAGCGTAACGGGCGTGTTATTAGCATTTTGATCTCCTTCGCGCAAGTATCTCTGGTTCGCAGGAATGTAAGTTGTATTAAGTAATATTCCATTATGCGGACGCTTTTGCGTTCGCACGAGTATCGCGCGAGGCGTTTCGGAGCGCCGAGACGCTCGCGTGTCTCCCCGGCGAACGCTATGACAAATGTGTGGAGTCAACATCTCTTGTTACTCATTGCGTTTGTTCCTTCAGTGTCGTATATCTCACCGACGAGTCAAGCGTAAAATTACGCTAAGAAGTAAGATTGTTTTCGTTGTTTTGTTCTTCGTTAGAATCTCCATTATAAGACTGTGTTATTTTTTTTCCCGCAAACCTTCCAAAAGTCAATCAGTGGATTATCACTGAACACGGTGAACCGTCACTGATTTGCAGTTATAAGTATACAATTGAAAATCGCAGTGAACACGTTCGCTGTTTTCAGTGATAATTCGTTGATTGATCTTTAGAAAGAAGACTTTACGCCGAGATCTTCGTGTGCACACTGAGAAAAAGTTGTTTGAAATGAAACAAATTTGTTTGAACGTTGACTTTGCTAGACTCTTATTTAATTTAGCCAAAAATAATTTGAGACGCCCGCCTAGAGTGTAGGGAGGTCCAGGTTCAAACCCTAAGGCTGAGGTAATATATTTCGCGATAAATTTTCTGTGTTAAAAACACGTTGCCAGTTATGGTCGATTGTAAGCTTAATTATTGTTAGTCGCGTACTGGCGTCAAATAATTCGTGATGTTAAGAAATAATTTCTTTACCTTAACCAAAATTTTATCTGATTGAGACTGGAATTTCTACGAGAATTTCTATCCATTTCTTCAAATCTAGCAAATGTTTTAGTAGAAGTAGATTATAAATTTAGTAGATTTTCAACGAAATATTATATGATTTCGACGCATCTCGTTTGCGTAACCTAACTTAATCTTTTCTTTCTGGGTGTACAGAGAAAAACGAAAAAGAAATGGTACTCTGCTCGCGTGTATATTTATCGAAACTGTCCTACTGACATTTTTATCACGCCGATAGGGAGTAGAGTGCTCGAGCCAAGATAGCCGATACTTATCGAAAGTACGAGCCTCTTCGAAAAACGAATATAAAGCCCTCGTAACGCCGCCCTTATGCCGCGCAACATCCGATACCCTTCCGTCGGCCTCTCGTTACTCGCTTGTACGTGGACAATGTAACGCAACACCTGCGATATAGTAGGAGCGCTTAAATGAAGCGATCCGCGTTGGCGATCAGCGCGTGTGCGTCCTGCGCGCACACACGCGCGGTCCACGGGCGATCGTTCTCGACGTAAAGGACTCGAGAGGACCGATCCGTACGCGCTGAAAATAGAAGCCAGAAGAGCGTATTCTCTTAAAAGCGTAAGAGAATGCATCGTCATTCGGATGCCCGGCGTTTCTCCCGATTATAGCTTCCGACTTGACGCTGACTCGAATAAAAAGTCACGGAAGCAGAAGTCATAACGGAGCACGAAACACAGACGTGGCGTAGTTGCGCATAACTGGCGTGCATAAGACGGCAATAGGACGTAAACTCCGTACATGGTTGCAAAAATATAGCTCTCTAGAAACGGAAAGAGAGAGAGAGAGAGAGAGAGAGAGGGGGGGGGGGTGCGAATAATGTACTGTCGATAACACCTTTTCACGGCGCGAATAGCCGTTTATTAGAAACGGAAGGATTATTATGCCGGATGGAGGAAACAAGGGCTAAAGTTAGTGGCGTTCTATTGCCAATTAGTTGCACGTTTAACGTAGCAGATATCCTCGATAATGGACCTTCATATCCAATCGTTAAACTGCAATTATTATTATTAGATTATTATACAGCATGGCCGTATCTCAATTTTATGTTTTGCCTCAACCCTACACAGTGCAGGGTCTCTAAGATAAATATTATTTCTAAAATAAGAATCGCTTCGTATATTCAACACATCCGAAAACCTAATTGACTGAAGAAAACACTTGAGTTCACTCGGCGTCAGAAGATCAGTTGATTTTGATTTACCGCAAACTCTCACGCGTCGACTCGTGTTACGAGAAGTAACTCGACAACGGAAGGGTTAAATATTTTTTATTTGCGACGGGATTTTTTCAGAAAGTGTCGCGTCCCGCATTTAAATTTTAGATTTGAAATTCTACATTTCGAATGCTAGGTGCGAATGAAATGGATGTGTACAGTGATGGACAGAACGATTGCGACACTTTTTTAATGAGTTCAGGAACATGCATTTAGATTGAGGATTACGTTTCAAAATCTTCTTCCCCGAGGAATATCTTACTCGACGGCCATTACGAAACCATTTCGACCGTTTCCGATCTATATCTCGAGTTCCTGAACTCATTTTAAAAAACAGTGTGGCCATTCTATCCATCACTGTACACATGGGACGCACGGTTCGTCCTAGTCTGCGATGTCATCCGCTACACATGTACGTCTCTTTCCGCTTCGCTAATATGAACCTCATTGAGAACTTAATCGCGCGTGCGTACGCCGGAAATACCCCTGGATTCCTCCAATATATCCGCGTGACACGAGGCTCGTTGCGGAAGTGCAGCTCATGAAATGCAAATCCGTCCCGGTTGGGTATCTCCCAAATGTCGCAACGTTAATGAGAGGGAAACAAAAAGGAGGCGTAGATTTCGATTATATTTATACCGAGGAACAAGCCACTAATGCCCAGTGGGCATTACTTTATCTTTATATCATTTTATTTTATCTTATTTATCTTATTGCTTTCTCATAGAGGAAGCTGTTTCGATGCGAAAAATTTTTTTCTAGTTTTCATTGCCAATGGGTTTAGAATGTTTTAAAAACTCAAAAAAACACATTTTTAAAAAAAAAGTCTGTGGGTGTGTATGTGTGTTCGCAAAATTGTTCGCGCTCTCACCTCCGCAATTTTTGAGATATCGCCTTCTACTTCGGCGCATTTATTGAGTGTGATTAAGAGATGGCTGGTATTGTATTTGACGATAATCGGTGCAACGGTTCAGTTTTTATTTGATCTTGTTTTATCTTTATAATGCCCTGGCAAGACCTAATGCCCAAACTAGTGTCCAGAAAATGCCTAGTAATGCCCAGTAATGCCGCAAATCTGTACAGCACAGTGCCCTCAGCGGTTTTCCCCTCGATTTATACAATTGAGAAACGAATAAAACAACGTGCGTCGTGCAGAACGTGACTGAAACGCGTTAATTCGAGGTCAAGCAGGAAACTCGGGTCCTCGTAGAAAAACCTCGTCGTTCCGACGCAGAAGTTGTAGCGGCTTATCAGCTTAATCCGGCGCGCGTTTATCGCAAGGACGTCCTAGAAATTGCCGGCCTGTCAGCGGCGGTGAAATCGGGAATGTCGGTCGATCTTTCCTCTTCCGCGGCGATAATCCTCGGCTCTCCGGCGCTGATGCGGCGCGAGTGTATCGGCCGTGGCATATGCATTACGTGAAATCGTGCGATATTCGATGATTGCAAAAATGCATACGCGAGCGTGCAGTTCCTGCACGCGCCACGGGACTTTCTCTCCACCAGCCCCGGGTATCGGCGCACCCGATAGCACACGTGCGTCGCGCACGTATACACGTGTGTATCGTAAGTTTTGCTTATTCGCCCCGCGAGCATTATTCTTTCCGCCGCGTCTGGAATCTTTGACGTTACGACGTAATCCGCCGTTTTTCTGCCGGGACCTGCGGCGGCTCGCGGACGTTTGGCGCGGTGGAGAATAACGAAACGTCCGAGGGACGCAAAGCGCGAGCATAAATTATCGGATATCGAACGTGGTATATTTGAAATACGGCCATAGACAAAATTATTAGGCATCCTCCTAATCATTAGGCTGGTATTACATTTGTCGTGCATATTTTTTAAGCGCGTCGAATGGCTGCAGGATAGTAAAATTCTCTAGAAATTTTCTATTCAGCGGCCGATCAACACGCTTGAAAAATTTGTCGTGCGACAAACGTAATACCAGCCTTACACTGCAAATTTAAGTGTGTTACTTATAAAGGTAAATGTTCAAGCGCATGTGAGAAATGACTCGTTGATCGACATCGAAACCGTCATATTGACGTCGATTCGACATCGATCAACAAGTCATTTCTCGCTGAAATATGTGTAATTTGGTGAAACACTTTTGCACGCTTTCTTCTGTTTAAAATCGCGCCGCGATAAACGTAATTTACATACTTCTTGCCGTTTAAAAGTAATCTTTATAAATGGCAAGAAATGTGCGAAATGACGTATCTCCGAAGTCACATGTTGTAATTTTAAACGAAAAGAAGTGCATATAAAAAGTGCTTTACCAAATTACACATATATGTGTAGAAAAGTAACGCTTAGATTTCCAATGTATGGTATACTGTACTGAATCTAATACTAGACTTTTTGTTTAAAAGTTGTTTACTGTATAGAAGCAACGACCGCTTTAGTAAACAATTTTTGAAAAATAAAAGTTTTCCAGGTATTAGATTCAGTACAATATATTATAATAATTAAATATGGTGGGGGGGAGGGCCAATGCGGGAGCCAAACGCAGGTATTCATGCGAAAATATCGGATGCGAAACTTTTTATTGAATTTATTAATCAATCTTCAACGAGGGGGAAACCGCTGAGGGCATTGTGGTGTACCGATTTGCGGCATTACTGGGCATTTTTTGGGCATTAGGCCTTGCTGAGGCATTATAAAGGTAAAATAAGATAAAATAAAATAATAAAATAAAGTAATGCCCACTGGACATTAGTGGGCATTGGTCGAGGGGGAAACCGCTGACCAAAATCTTGTACACCAATGCCCAATAATGCCCAGTGGGCATTACTTTATCTTATTATCTTATTTTACCTTATTTTATCTTTATAATGCCCTAGCAAGGCCTAATGCCCAAACTAATGCCCAAAAAATGCCTAGTAATGCCCAGTAATGCCGCAAATCCGTACACCACAATGCCCTCAGCGGTTTTCCCTCGGCATTGGTGTACAAGATTTTGGTCAGCGGTTTCCCCCTCGTGAACGCCATAAAGAGAGAGTGAGAAATCTAAATTTTACATAATAAAGGGACAGATTGCGCGTCGTTATAAAATGTACATTAAAAATTACAAAATTTTTTGGACACTGCATTTTGTATGATTTTTGACAATATAATAATTTATAGTAGGGCGCTTAATAATTTTGTCAATGGCTGCATTTAACATCGCTGTTATACAACAAACTTGATCCGCGTCGAATCGCACGAAGGCACAAAGTGCACAGTGACCGCCTGAGATACTGCAACGAATAGCCCGACGAGGAAAGGAACGTGCCTGTAAAAAGTCGAAAGAAGGAAAGATAAGGTTAGATAAGGATGGAGGATAGAAGCGTTGAAATGCAACAACGTCCATTCCAAGAAAGTTGTTTTCGCCTGCCTACTTCTTGCTACCCGTGTGTGTAAATCATTCACGTTACACGTCACCGCGAGAGTATGGGACTGAAATCCGGGAACCTTGAGGAGGAAAAAAATAAATAATAACAAGCGGCCTTCGCGGGGCCGATCTGCGTAAGAGAAGTTAATTCTACTCTCTCTCTCTCTCTTTTTCACTCTCTTCCCTCTCGAGGGTATCTTCTGTAATAAATGTACTTTTTTTAAAGATAGCTAAAAGCGATAACTGGTCATTTAATAGATATTATAAAGTCACGTGGGAACGACGGCTGTATCAATTATATCGGCGGATAATATTACAGCGTCGGTACATTTCCCCGATATCGCGATTATTTTGATTGGCAGCGCGTCGGTTTCTCTCCCGGGAGAGAATCGCGATATCATTATTCGAGTGATAAATGAAAGATCGCGGATCCACCGGTATCTTTTCGCGGCTGCAAAAACGCTCGCCGGGCACGCCGATCGCCAGAGATTGAACGGTAAATCGTACTTGGAAACTTGCCGAGCGCGGTACGTCGCGTCGCATCGGCCGTACACTTTATAACGAATCCTTCACATTTCTTTTCGACGCGCGGATAAAGGATGATGTAAGTAATTCCTGTCTTACATCCAATCATCCTTCACCGCGGAGGATCGTACACGCGCAACATTTTTATGCCGCGATCTCGTCCTCGTTACGAGACGTTTTAAAGCGCGTGTCCTGGAGCGTCCTCTCTCTAGAAAATTTATGAAATCCGTGGTCTACTTAGATTAATCGCGACACCATTATGAGAAAGTAGTGAGAGGTAGTAAAAAAAAAGAAGACTGTAATAAACTCCGTTTCAAATGAACGTTATTTAGCATCCAATTTCAGTCGTGCTGCTGAATAAGTGGCGCCATGTAGGTGCCGTGGAAATTTGATCGTCACATCGTGTTTTGTATTTTCACAGCTAGACGATGTTTAAACGCTTGTCGAAGTCGAGGCGTCACAGCGCCGACGATGTCGCCCTTTCCCTGTCGGGCCCGGCGGTTCCGCTGGACGAGCCGTCGGCGACTTCAATGCCGCGGACAAACAGCCAGGATCTGGAAACCGCCAACCTGCTCAAGATCTCCCGCGCCAAGTATACCCGGAGGAGCTGCGGCGACGCGGCCGCGATGCAGACGCTGCTCGAGACGAAGCAGGACAACGAGCAGGATGTCATCGAGGCTGACTATCAAACGGTCACGGCCGTGCCGGCCTTCATCGTCGAGCACGATCCGAGTAAACAACGAGGTAAGCTGTCGATAATCTCCATATCTCGACGATGAAACGCGCTGATCAATTGAACGTCTTATTGCACTCGGACAAAACGATTTCTTTCTCTACATTTCTTTTATTTTGCTCACTTCAATCAGACCCGCAGAGATGTTGAACTTATGACACACATTTTTGGAGATATTTGCGTGGATCATTTAAAATGAGACGCCCTGTATAGCAGAATTAAAGGTTCAACATAGGGCCAATACTTGGACTCGGGTATACATAAAATTATGAATGTCGATTTTGAGAGCACCGGAGTCTTGATTTCGCCGAACGGCGGGTGCGTGTTGCGAGCGAAGGAGGTACGCAACCGTAAAAAGCTTGTAAACCGTCGCGTCGAACAATACAGCACGCACGGACATCATCCTGCGTAGCGGGTCTAAATACAATACTTTCAAACTGGGCTCTATGCTCCGGTGACTCCCATGTCCCCTGCCCCGTCGGTAACGAACGCGCAAAAAGGTACGGCCACTTGGCTGCCGACGTCGTTGATCTTGCTCCTGTTCCGAACGACCGCGAATTACCGCTAATCCAGGAAAACATCGCATCCTTTCACTAATCACTCGCTTGGCGCACTTGCCTCGTTAGAGCCCCCGTCGTCCGACACACTTGCTAACACCGACTTGCGCTCGCTGCTTGATAATATCAAAGCGAAGTTAGTAAACTTGCTTCTTCCGGTTGTATTTTAATAGAAAGTTCGCTCGCGGAATTATTAACGGAGGTAGCGCGTGTGTGCTTTATAGTGTCGTTGGCTTTTCGAAAAATTCTACGTCGACGTTTCATACGTTTCTGCTGGAAAATACGTAAATAGATTTTTTTTCTCTATTGCACGATATTTGGGAAATTGAAGAGGAGGAACGTCGGAGAATAGTCACGTTCTCCTTTTTTATAGAATACGAGACCAATTAGCGATGTAACTGTAACTCGTCGCAATTTGTATTAACGGCGCAACACTTTTCACTTTTCGATTTATATAATGCATTCTGATTATACAATTATTTAACGAATCTTATATGTAATCTTTACTTACCAGGAATATCGTTTTTTTTATCGCGCAAATTATTAAGTATCCTGGAAATGTGCCAAAATAAAATACGCGCAACGCTATTCTTACGGTTGTTAACAGAGGGGGGAAAAAAATGATAAAAACGAATTCAGGACGTCTACTTAATGATATACCTGCCTTCCCTCGCGTTCTTTTTTCCGCGCAATGGCGCACCTGCAACTCGCGCGATAGCGAGTAAAACACGCCAGCCGAGATATTCTAAATGCGTGATATTTTTGAACGCGGGGGGGGGGGAACACGGATTACAGTGATCGGCGACAAATAAGGCTGTTACAACGCGACGCGATATAAACCGCCTTTTGCACGCGCATCATGCCGTATACGCGCGATCGCAAAACACGTGTGCCCGATACTCGAGCAGCCTTTTAATCGTTTCTCGTTATGTAGAAGCGATGTGTCCGTGTCGCGGGCCCGTTAGCCGGGGTGACACCTCGAAAAAGTAGTCCCAAACTACGCGGAACCGCTGGCCACGGGTCCCCTCGTGTACGGCCCGCGTACCGCCATATGTCCCACGCGGATGTGGGCATCGGGCGGTTTTTCGTTGTACGTTCTGCGAGACGGCACGCTGCCGTTTCAATGTCTTACTCCCTTCCACCTTCGGGCCCGCTCCCATTGAGGCCCCGGGACGCGAAAAAACGGTTCCGTACGGCTCATTATCGAGAACGTTAACCCTTCGAAGCATACATTTTTCCTCTCAGCCGATTTTTCGGAAACTTAATACTGCAGAGTGTGCGCTTGATAAGGACCTAAACCCTTGGTCGAAACGTCGCACTGTACATCTTTTTATCGTCCTCGTTATTATTATGCAGACTGAACTACTTAAACGAGCTTGAGATATCTTTGTTGATTTTGAAAGTACCGAAAACTCTTAAGAAAGTTACGGGGCTACTCTGCTGACTTATAGACAATTTAATACATTTATTTTTTAAAACAATATACTGTTACCATTATTTAAATAATTGTCACTGATTGTATTTATGTTATTTCGTTCTGTAGTGTTGGGTCTAGGAATTTGGGGTCGCAGGATGGGCAAGAAGATCGATTCGTTTCGGCGGACCAGATCCCGCGAGGCTATCTGCTCCATTACGGAAAGGCCCGACGGCGTCGAGCGCAATGGCGTCAATAATAATAATAACATCAACAACAACGATACTAGTGCCAGCAATAATAATATCGACGTTCGCGAATTAAGTAAGATCCACTTGGACGAGAGGACGAGCAGGAAGTTACCGGCAGCCTGCCAGCGATCCCCGTCTCCGTTCAAATCATTCTTCATCCGGATGGGTTCCACCGGCATGCTCAACTCGACGAAAACCAACAGGAGATCTCCGAATATCGAGGAGAGAACGACGCTGCCGGACAAGGAGAGCTTGTTCAGAAGCTGCAGCACCAGTCAGCTGAATAACAGTCCGACTTACGTGAAGGGAGACGATCCGTCGGAGGGTATAGACCTGCAGATAGCCGCGCGAAAGGACAAGACGGTGTCCTGCGACGACCTGGCGGGACGTCGAGGCAACGATCAAGGGATCTTCGAGGCTCGCGCGCGTGCCGATCCTTGCGCCTCCGCGTACTCGTTGGGTAGCCCTGCGGTGAGCTTCAGTACCTGCGACCTCGAGAAAACGAAGAACGAATCGTTGATGAGGAAGAGCAGCAGCTGCGACCTGAAGGAAGCGAAGAAGTCCAACTTCCCGTACGCCTTCTTGCGATCGAAATTGTCCGTCTTGCCGGAAGAACGTCACGGATCACTCGTCCCCAAGGACGAGAGGCTCTTCAAGACCGTGTCGGAGGAGCACTTCCCGACCCTGCAAATCGAGGACTCTTACGTCAATACCACGACCCTCGGACGGAAGAGATCCAGAATAATCGGGAACGTCGACTGCGGCCTCGACGCCGCGAGGAATCGGGAAAATGTGCGACTGGGCCGGACGTCCCACACGGAGTTCCAGAAAAATTCCAATAGATACGAAGCGGACAGATACAGCCTGAACGCCAGCCGCCTCGAACGAATCGAAGCCGGGCTTCAGCGGGAGGGCATCGCTCGTTGCTACAGCCTGTTTGATGGAAGTTTGCTGTCGCTTCGGGAGAACAACGAGTTCCGACATAGCGAGGACACCACGCGCGACAAGGCGAACTTAGCTGCTGGTAGAATCGAGACCGGGATAACGGAGAATTGCAACGTCGAGCTCGACATGACTACCATCAGGAGTAACCGACGGAATTCGGTATCGAGCTGCGAGCAAAGGCTGTCGTCTCACTATGTGAGCTCGAACGAGTCTGGTTACGACAGCGACGGGCCACGAGGTGAATCCGTGGCGGCCTTGGAGAACGAGGGGCTCAAGTGCAGTTCGGACACCAGCAGCGTAGTGGACTCGGAGGCGGACAAACCAATAAGAAGTTCCACCCCGAGCGAGTGTCAGGATCAGGAAAACGCCCGGAACGCCGGCAGGATCGCGCGGAACTCCGACGCGGACGAGAACAGGCCAGACGCGATTTCCCGGATGAATTTCGAGGGAATAGATGGTCTCAGGTGGCACTGGAGCGGTTCCGGACGGATGCTGCCCAGTATTCACGGGACGTCCTTCGAAGAGGAAGCCGTGTCACGGCTGGAGGACACTCCGCTTCCAAGCTGCGAGGATAGGCTGAACCTCTTGTCGGATACGACAAAGACGCTGGACGTCTCGCCCCACCGCATGAGGTTGCAGCAGGATAAAACGAGGTTCCTCAGCGATATTATCCAGCCGCTGACCAGGGTACGGCGATGTTGCCTGATAGAATTGCACAAGAGAGACCCCAAGGAAAGTCTGGGAATTCGACTGGCGCAGCAGCGACTGGGAGATCTCCGGTACATCGTCGTGCAACTTGAAAGCGACGGCATCGCTCATAGGTGAGAAAAGTTCGTCGTATTACTAACTTGTTAAAAATGCACGCTATAATAAAAACTCTATCCTAATTTGACTTAATTTGATCATAGAGACAGAAATATAAGTTTTTTAAATCTGATTTTATTTATTTTAAATAATTTAATTTTTAAACCTCGTCTAGCAACAAGATTACTTATTACTTCGATTGCAGGGACGGTAGATTGCGATTGGGTGATGAGATCGTCGAAGTCGAAGGCAAGGAGCTAAAAACGCTGGAGACCCTCGAGGAAGTTCAGGAGTTTCTGCGGTCCTTTACCGGTAACACGGTACGATTAACGACGGCGTACGAGGAGACGATGCCGCAAGTGTACGAGAATCCACCGTCAGTCGCGCCCGGCGAGTACGAGTACTTGGAAAACGCGAAGAATCTGTCCAGCATGTCGTTGATCGACACCGAGACGAATCATGTTTCCTCAACGGTCGAGAAGAAGAAGAAGAAGAAGACGACGACGACGACCGACGGCGACGCGGAGCCACTTCAGTCGAGGAAGAGGCCCGACTTCCTGCCGCTTTCGTGCCTATCTGAGAATCAAAAGGACACCCGCAGCAGCGTGGAGCCCGCCACGGAGTCGCAGCACTATCTGTCGAGACACGTGGCCAGGTTCGAGAAGGGCTACGGCAAGCCCAGTTTGGGCTTCAGCGTTGTAGGTGGCAGAGATAGTCCCCGGGGTGACATGGGGATCTTCGTGAGAAGAGTCTTCCCCGGCGGGCAGGCCGACATTTCCAGATCGTTGTTCCAAGGTAGACTCCGCTTCAAAGGAATCATTTTCCGCGCGTAACAACCGTTAATTAACAGCTACGCGCGCTCGTAGCTGCTAATTAATATGCCAGGTGCCTTTATCGCTCGTCGTTATCGTCTCGATGAAGAAAAGTCGGATTAATGACAATTAAACCGTTGTATAATATTTGTTACACGGACTATCTGCTCGATAATTAGCGGGACTGGTCGAGTCCGTCCAGTTTGATCCGCCTCGATACCGCGTAATATCGCGCGCTTCGTTTCACACGTCGACGTGCCTCAAATACTTTTCGCTCGAGAGCTATCAATCGCGGGGATAAGGGAACGCGCATGACGACGCGTCGAACGCACGTTCGACGGACGGGCTTCGTGTATTCACGACGGTGCCGGGGATCCCGCCAGACAGCTGTCGAATCTTTAATCCGACAGCTAACGCCGCGTGCATATCTAAACAGTCGCGGCATGTTCCACCGTTTTTCTCCTGGCCCTTTTCTTTTCTTTTCTTTCCCCCTTTTCGCCCGTCCTCGCTTCCTTTCATCGGAAGACGGCGAGATACCTCGTGTGTCATTGACAGCGCCGGTATTAATATACCGTTTCCTGATATCTTTATCGTATTGTTAGGACGTTTTACGTACGCGATGCTCACACATGTACGCGAATCGTTTCCCACTTTTTTTCCCCCCTTTACATTCGGTACCTCTTCACATCCATCGCGAGTCAACCTGGTCGGGCATTAAGAGAGGTCAGAGAAATCGTTCGCGATGCCGACGACCAGGTATTCGCGGGAAGTTGACGCGCCGATAACCAGGAAGGTCGTTAGACGCGTTTCGCGTTCTCATGTCTCGAATTTCAACCGAGCCCGCCGCTTTTTACGCCTGCATCGCGGTTTCCTCGTTGCCCGCCGTTCCTTACCGCATACTTGAGTAACGGGCTGGTAGCTGATCGGCTTGCATAAGCGCAGGAGATAGCATCCCGCAAGAACGTCCTCGTCACGGGGTCATTGGCAGCCTCGAGGGTTACTTTTTCATCATTAAACTTTATTGATATTGTCGGGATGCTGTTTGAGAGAAAGAGAGAGAGAGAGAGAGGGCGATCCCGACAACTTTAAGCGGAGACTGCGGGAGTATTCTTTCCATTTCTCATTAATTATCGAATTAGCGGTGATTTTCGAAGAAATCGAAAGAATACCCGAAGAAGTATTATTTTCTTGAAAACCGATGAAGGGTAGTCCGTTTTCGCCGTCAATGACATGTAACATTAAAATTCACATATTACTTTCTTGAATTTCAGGTGACGAGATTTTGAGCCTAAACGGGCAAGTTTTGAAAGGCCGCACGCACCAAGAGGTCATCGAGTTGTTTAAGACGGTGAGAGAGGGCACGGTCGAGTTAGAGATTACGAGAAGACACAGGTGAAATTTATAAACATTTGTCTATAACGAGACGCCAAGCGTCGTATCGATGAAATATCGGCGACGTGACGTGGTTAATAAACGCTAATAATAATTGTTACAGATATCCGAAAAGTACTGTAAAAAGCGCGCCGTACTGAACAGTATGGACGTGGAGGAAACTGCCCACCGGAAGTGCTCCTTAGATTTAGGTCTAATCCACTATCGTTCGCATGGGGAAAACGGCGTTTTAGAATTCTAGTCTATCGAAAGAAATCTATGACTTCTCTGACGTTCTTCTCTCACGTAATTTATTTCGTGCGGCATATCTCGCAACCGTCTGATAGATTAATAGTTTTTATTATTAAGATAGACTCTCTACGCATGCACGCGCGCGTACCGTGGTATTATAATTATTGTTGAGTACCACGTCTTTAACAATAAGATTTTATACGAATAACGTTACGATGTATCCATTATATGCATTCTTTTTTAATCATAGAGGACAATAAAGAGGATGTTCCTCGCAGGTACCGAGCGGGGTACCGTATCCAGATTATTATTAATTAAATAATAACTGTTTTTAAATAACTGTTTTATTTCTAGCGAATTCTGAAAATGTACAGTATATACATGATTCGTATTTTACATAATTTGCCACGTTCCCCGTCTGTCTTTCAACGATCATCGCTCTCACGTGTCTATCAGCAAGAGATCTGCGCACGACTTGGCCTTCAATATTCTGAAACAGAAGAGCGAGAAATGATCGAAATGCGAGGAATTCGTAATGAATCCAAATGTGCGATATAAATAAACGATATATGCTTCCTTTTGTAAAAATCTCTAACAACCATTTTAGTTTGAACCAAACATTGGTTACAAATGTTGTCTTAAATATTTAAATACATCAGTAAAAAATGCGACGGCATTTGATTGAATGTTAAATATTTAAGAATCGCTTACTGTGATTCACGATTTTTCACGCGTCTACACAGATGCAAAGCGATCGGTCCACTTTTAATATTGCGAAAAAGCTGTACGGCCTCGCGATGCGTCAAGTCGTGGCAGACTTGGCCATTCACAGCCAAAATCTCGTCTCCTGCGCGCAAACGGCCATCTTCAGCGGCCTGTCCGCTAGGCAGTACCGACTTTATGAAGATACCTGCGACAAATTAATGAGCATAGAATATAGAAATAAGAGAATGAAAATATAGAATTTATTATAAATCCAAAACTGATCAGGAAAGAAGTAGAACTCGTAAATGTTCCTGGAGAGCAGTGAAGTGGAAATGTTCTAATTTATTACATAATCCACGTTTAGCTAATTGAAAGCGGTATACAGCAAAGAAATACACTCGTAATTACCGATGCTTCCTTTCGGGCTGTCTCTCCCGCCAACTATGGTGAACCCTAAGGACTTCTTCCCGGTGCCTTTCTCGAAAAGCACCGTAAGGAACGTAGACACCGTACTTCTCGGCCTCCTGGGAAGAGTGCAGAACTTGGAGACACTCTGCGCGAGTCCGCTGTCCATGTTCGTCGCGAATTTCTCGGACGAGATCGATCTGTTCGACTCGTCCTTTTTGTCTCGGTGACACCTGGTCTGATGCTTTCTGAAGTGATGCGATCCGGGTGAACTTTCGACGATTACCCCGTGGCCGTCTTCCATGCTAACGTTTTCGTAATCCACGCTGCTCTCCTTCAGCTTCTTCGCTTGCTGATCGACGCCGGACAACCGCGAGACGACGATGTCGATGTCACCGGGACCGCTGCCACTACCGAGGATCTTCCTAGCCTCCGCCATGCTCAGACCGCGTAATCTCTTTCCGTTGACGATCAGGATCTCGTCGCCGATCCTCAGCGTGCCCTCCTTGTCGGCCAGTCCGTTCGGCACCACGTGAGCCACCAAGTAACCCGGACTGGACTCCGCGGTTTTCGCGATGAAGATACCGAGGCACTGGTCGGGCGTCTCCTTGGGTAGTTTCACGACCATCGTCTCCGTGGTGTACACTCTACTCCTCACTGCCTGTAAACCGGAACCGCGTTGCTTCCGTCCGGAATCCTCGTCTACGGTTCTCCCCTCTTTTTCGCGACCCGTATTGTTCTCCGCGGAGACCCGAGCCGTTTGACGATCTATCAGCGTACCGTTCGCGGCTTGACAGACGCTCGAGTACTCCTCGGTAAGAAGACTCATCCCGGAATCCTTGTCCTTAGTCTTGTCGTAGTACACGTCCAAACTGGCGAAGAGTCGCGCGGTCCCGTCGACGTCCGTGGCGGTCGAGAAGGGTCTTCTAGGCGGAAGCTGAGGAGGCGACGGTCCCAAACAGGAGTCGTTGTGGCTACTGTTGTTGAGCGGTCCGGAAGCGCCGCTGCTACATCGGTCGTCCAGCAAGGAACTGGTGGCGGAATCGTTGTCCAGGATTCCGGAGTCGTTGTCGTCCTGATCCTGATCCTCGTACAGCGGATTCGTCCGTAGCTCCTCGAGGCCCGGCAACGTGCCGTAAGAAAAGCTACGCAACCTCCGCCTCTCGCGGTCCTTGCAGTCCTTCCTGTAGATCTTGGCGATTAGCCTGTTCGTCGAGCTCTTCAGGTACCTGTCCTGCATCGCGCGGAATTTCGCCGCCAGGCAGCTGGACGGCGTGATGCTGTCGAACGCCGTCGCGTCCTTCTTAAAAATAGTCTCGCCGGCGTGCCTAGGCACCCCCGTGCTGACCGTCGTCACCGGATCGACGGGTCGATCGGCGCCGCGGTTCTCCTCGAGGAAGCTCCGATCGGTCCTCTCCCATCGATAGCCGTCAGGCATCGCGTCGTCCCGGACGGAATCCCCCTCTTTCGGCCGCCACTCGGGCTGCTTCCGAGGCGTCGAGGTGCGAAAGCCCAAGAAGGAGAACCGCTCCTCCTGCTGCTTTTTGTACAACAACCTGCTCTGCGACTTGGCGCGTCTCTTCCTCTTCGCGTGGTTGTTCCCCTCCTCCGTGATGTCCTTCAGGTCAGACTCGCAGACCGAGCGCCGGAACTCGTTCCTGGTCAGACCGCGATGCCTCAGCTCGCACATCGAACGGAACTGGACTCGTCTCGCCGACTCCTCGTCGTTGCCGTCGTTCTCGTTCTCGTTCTCGTTCTCGTCGGAATCGCGGTCCTTGAAGAAGCTCAGTCTGGTGCTCTTGACGCGGTCCAGCAGAGGATTCCGCTTCTCGCACACTCTCCGCCGTTCTTCCTGGATCCTCTTCTTGTCCTTTTTGTTGACAGTCCGCTCGGTCGTCACCTGGGAGGTCTGCACGTTGTAGCAGTTTCTCTCGGATTCGGAACTCGATGATTTTCTCCGGGCCCATCGCACTGGCGATATGTCTGAAAGATAAAGATAGAGGTATTGATAAATGTGCACGGCAAGCGGTAGAATAAATATATGAAGCTAAATGATGTACAGGTATGTTTCTACATAGCGGAATAATTGATCGCTTCGCTGATTAAAATAGATTTATAACTTTTACACTTTCGTATGCTCTTTATAAATTATAGCTTTATATTTTATCAAGATACAGTGTATTTTACTGTGAAACGCCGTACAAAATCTCGGGTGAATGATAGAATTCAGTAGATCGCGTATCCTCATTTTTGCCGGTCTGCTCGCGATTAAGAACAAGTGAGATCCGAACTCTATGACTTCCACATCAAATGTGACCACTTCTAGTGCACTTCTAGCCATGACGATACTGACAGAACTGACAAATCTGCGGGTTCCGTGAAGCATGACGCGTCTTGTACAGGATATGCGTAAAACAGGATGCGCCTGTGAGCAATTTGTTTGCACTACTATAGAACATTATTCAATTAAGCTTAGGGACACTATAGGAGCGGCAAGATAGCCGTCTAATTAAGAAATTAAGTAAATGACAATATAACTATTTTTTACGTATGTACACTAAGTCAGCGACTTCTCGCGCGTATTCGTTGAATAAAAATCAAAACCAAATTACGTATATACAATGGTAACAAAATGTTCATTAATTAATTATATCGGGGATATTTCTTTCGTTTGAAGAAGGAAGAAACAGTTTTACGTTATTTTTTTGAAAGACATTTTTTAGATAAATTAATTTTTAACAAATTTATTTCCTACCAGATTTAATGAAATGAAACGGACTTCTTGCGATCAATAATAATCACGAATCAGTAGAAATATAATCACAAAACCGTAAAATCATTAGTCACGTCTTTTCCCCTCGTTCGAGCACGGCTGCGCTGGATAAAAAACGCAAATCTTGCAATACTAACCGACGCGAATGTAAAAACACGGATTTGCGTGTCATTGTAAAATGCGTGTTGAAAGCTACACCGATACTAATTTATTCCTTGGTATTACAAGCCGCAGCTTTACGAAACGAGGCCCTGACAGCAATCGAGATAATGCAGCCAGTAACGACAGCCGCTATCGCGACTAGACCTCTTCGGTTCTTCAAGGTGAGCGTGCGGGATTTACTCATTTTAAATTAGTTCGTCATCGTGCACGGCAAACCGTCAAATCATTCGCTCGGCTATCCTTAAGAAGAAACGGGCTCTCGGCAAATAAGGCACGATTTGTCTTCCGTCGAGCAAAACCGAAAACAGCTGGTGAAGCGAGTAATTTCGTGTATACGTTATCATACGGAATGCGTAAACAGGATACCGTAAAAATAGATCCGGCACTCGAGTAACGCTTTATCGTTCTTTATGTCATGTCTGACGTCGAAACCGCAACTGTGCTGAGCTCACATAAAAGTTCTCAGATCGCGGATTGTGTTTCCCGATGTGAAATGTTTCACAATTATGTGGTTAAATAATTATATCGTTATCCGTCGTTGTTAACCGCCTGTAACCCGTGCTTTATGAACGTGAGAAATACTTTCTATATTTTTAATATACCGCAATGATAGAGAGAAGATTGTCAAATTTATTCCCGCGTCCCAATATAATACAAAACTATCGTGTATTGAATCTCAACAAAATTACCTTTTAAAGAAAGGTGCAAAAAAGACGCAAAGCATACGCGCCCAAAGAACGCGTTTAAACAACAATTCTTGTACAAAACAGCTCTTTCATCTACAAAAATAATGATATCAACAAATTGCACCAAGTGCAACAATGGATATTTGTTAGTGGCCTTCTCTAATTTAATCGCTGGATACATGTTGGTCCTGACTTTTCAATTTTTCCAAAAATGACGACGTGCGAGGCAGAACAACTCGATTCATGTACAACGAAATTTAGGGTAAAAGCACTTAATTTCGCCCAGAACGCAATATCGCCACTCGTGATATCTCGTGAACAAAGTGCTGATATCAATCGGCAATACATAGAGTTAATAGCTAACCGTGTGTAAAAATACCTACATATTACAACGTTATAGAAATAACGTCTAACTCAGGAGACGCAAGTTTAAAACAAATTTTGAGTGCTGAAAACTTTAGCAGACAGTGCAAGTTCGACATTTCATAGCGAGAATATAAGTTCAAACATTCTTTTAATGTGTAAATATTTACTAGGAATACACAATTAGTAATATACTTCACTATCTTTAACTGATTTCAACGCGTATGTTTTTGTTACGATGTTGTTTTTGGTGTCTAGATTAGGAGATGCACACAATACCGCCCATCATATTATTACGGAGGTGTCCGTAATAATATGCGCTTAGGCGACGTTACGTGCATGCATTTCTAAGAATAAAAAAAGAGTAAAAAAAAGAGCGCAAATTAACTCGACGTATAAATCTTTCGAAATCGTGTGTTATATATAATACAAATATTTTTTAACATAATAACAAATTAAAAACTTTTTGGACGCCTGCAAACGTTTATATGATGTAAAATAAATACCTATAGCTTCACAAACTCATACATATTGATAGACAATGCTTTTATAAAAATTTCTAAGGTAGGCGATATTAGACGCCATTTTTTCAAACTCCCGATTCTGCCGTTTTTTGTTTCTTTTCAATGTGGATTAAAATTGTTTAGATTTTAACCGTTCTAGCATATTGTACACGAAACACAAATGTTTCCTCTTTCATTTGAGACTAAATGCAGAGAAAAATGTCAATTACTCGTTAAGTGAGAACGATTTGAATGTTGGTAGGCGATATTAGGTGCCTCTACCCTACGTCACGACAAATTAGATGCATGGGGTGAATGAAATTTTTTAATTAAAGACCCGCAGGCTCGCTTTCCGGCTACCGTCTCAATTAGCGGCCACTATAATTAGCTGGACGATTCATTGCGGATTGTCACTGCCGTGAATCGCGTCGCGCGGTCCCACAGGACGCGCATACGGTCACGCATGAGCCTACGGACCGCGCGTCCTCGACAATGATCCTTTATATTAACGCGCATTCGCGTAGGCCGGCGTAGTGTCAATTTGCTTCTATTCTCGCTTTCCGGCCAGTCACTCGGGAAACTTGACGGAACGTTGAGTCGTAATCCCTGCATTCAGGATGGAATCCCGATTCAAGTCCCGCCACGCACGGCGCCCGCGGCACGCAAAGACGCGTGTACGCGCGGCATTTTTGCAAAAATTGGGCCGATTCTCTCCGATGGGGAGAGACGGAGGATGAAACGCCGACGGCTGTCGCGTATCGCCGAGCGTGCTTTACTCTTCCCACAGCGATTGGATGACCACACCGCCATTTCAGGCGACTTTTACCTCTGCAGCGAGACCTCGCGTGGAAATGGTAGGACGTTTCGTTGACGTCTTCGTCGGCTCGAAGGGGACTTAGGCGCAGGAGTCTCGGTGCCTCGGCGTGGCCGCGAAACCAACGCATGTCTGTAACAAATTGGAAAGTAGTCAGAGCGTGATTTTCGTACGTGAAAGCATTCGATGAATATTTCAGCGGCGCGCCTCTAACTCTTTCGAGCGTTCGCTAAGTGATGCTTTTGTTACTTCAATTTCAGGAATAAAGGAATTCCCCGGCGAGAACTCGGAGAGCGCGTCCGTTAAAAATTAAAACCGTGAATGGGATGTTCCGTGCATTTGTTATTCTGACACTCCGGTAATGAGAAAGCGTCCCTATTTATCAAGATTTTTAACGATGTAAGCGCGCTGAAGATTAACTGCATAAAAGTGAAATGGTAAATCTTGGGAAGTGAATGGACCTTATACTGGATGTCGATGGCGACAATCACCGCTGAATCCAGGCTGTCTCTTTTCACTCGTTATTGCACTTGTTTCTGATACGATCTAATAACGAGATAGAGAAAATCGCACGTGATGATGATTCCATTGATGTACATATGAAAGAAGCGGTGATAAATTTAGCAGATAGCGAAACCTATATTTCTCTGTCAATTTCACGCAAACTCTTTCATACACCCTCAGAAAGAATTTCTGTTACCGAGACAACAAATATTCTTGACGCATTTATATTTCTCGCAACCTCATTTAGTAGAAAAATAAGACAATATCAAAATAAAATCAACAATTCTTATTCTCCTCTGTCGAATTAAAAAAGAGTGACTTACTATATTGAAGAGTAACTTATATAAATGTAAGTTTATGTATTCTTGCGTTTAGAATAAATTTTCTCTCCATCTTACAACGAAGTTATAGTGTAATAAATATGATTGGCGCTATATCCTATTTTATGATACATTGAAGTGCAATAGCATTGGATCCGGAAATGTTTTCTGTGGGTGTAAAATTTTAATCCGAGATTTAATTACAAACGTAATATTGGTATGTGAGTAATGTTAAAATAAAAAATTGTAGCGATTAATAGTCTCTTACGAAAGTTCAAGAAGAAATATACTTGAATCAGAAAATCTGTCGATAAAATCCGCGAGTTGTAGGATAGTTTGAACATAATGCAATTAAAGAACGTAAATACACTCAATTAATTTAAAGTTTTGGACGTCAAGTGAATTAAACAGAGAGAAATAAAACATGTACGTTCCATGTCTTTGTCCGAAATAATTTTACAGAAAAGGATATTACGTTGCAAATCAGATTTTGTTACTGTACATTGCTTTTATCTGTACGACATTTTGCAATTCTCGCGTAATTATTGGATTATTTTTGATTTAATAATTATTATTCTTACGAAAGAATGAGAAATATAGGTACTTCAGCCATCGTACGTATGACATTTAATATCGATGCCAGATTTATGCCTGCGCGTTCGAACGAAGTGGTACGTGAGTATCCAGCATCACCGTCGTTTCTCGCAACGGTACTTCCAAGACAAGGAGGCCGCATCATCTACGTCGTCTAGCGCACAACTTTTCATGCCGGCGGCACTGTATGATACGCATATCTTAACTCGAAGATTTTCAATCACTCGCTATCCCTTCGCGGTACAAAGGACAGAAATTTTATGCATGTCGAACAATAGACCGGTAAAAGGGAGATTTACTTCTTGGCTCTTACTATCCTCTTTTTATATTCTTGCGGCGATAAATGTTTATCCTCGCGAGAGATGATACTTTGCGTTCTCCAGGGGCGGTTTATTCGAGACTTCGCACGAACGACGTTCGTGCAAATTTTTTCGAGTTTATGGATCTTTCTATCTTCCAGGAATGTCGGCGACCGGAATTGCCGGGCGCATTCCATGCCAACTGCACGCGTACAGTTGAAGAGAGATTCTTAGAAGTTCGCTTCGAAGGATTTTACATACATCTTATATTAAATGTTGCGCTGCGTGTCATTGCGGTACACCGTATGTTGCAATAAGTGCAATTATTATGCTGTAATATCGAGCTAATTATTATGGATTGCAAATCGAATCGATTTTTAGTGCGTGGGGAGCGGTACTTAGTAATATCGTTTTATTGCCCGCGGTTCGGCCGATAAAGAAATTAATCCGCTGATACCGTTGCCAGAAGCGGAACGGTAATTCGTTCACCTTTTTCACCAATAAACGCATTGGACGGAATATTCACGAGAGGCAAATACCGTTCGTCTGACCCGTATAGAATCCATAAAGTTTTCCTTGCTAATCGGCAGATAGGATATAATTGCGAATACTATAAATGCGTGCGATACTGCCGAATCGAGTTAATTCGCGAACAGAGGAACGCATGCCCGGTGAAATTATTGCAGGGACAAGAATGCCGATAACGACCAAACGCTAATTGGAAAACGCTTATCCGCTTACGTGTATGTACAAACCAGGCAAAGGAATAGAACGTTGTATAATAAGTGCACATTTATATCGAATATAAGCGACTTTTGACGACTGTTTGGCCGATAGAAAAATTCATTTTTATTTTAATAATTATTTTTATATTATTAAACTGAATTTTTCTATCGGAATATATTAAAGTTGACGGCTATTTTCAGGTGTAAAAGCATTTATGACACCGAGTATATACTCTGGTACACTTTGGTATATATATGTACCAAACAATCGCCAAAAATCGCCTTATGTTGCACAAAGAGAGAGGGGGAGAGAGAGGGGGGGACTGCTCCAGACTAATCTTATACACGGTGTCCAAAATCAATTGTATTTTCTTTTAACCGCGCAGAGATTGGCTAATCTTGAATTGATTTTTTCTGCTAGAAAATTTGATATTGTTTTAATGCTGCTTTGTTACTCGTTAGAAGTTCGAAAAAGGAGTTTACAATTACTTTTTTAATCTGCTTTCACGGCCTGAAAAATATCCGTGTCTCGTGTCGTGTATTCGTAAAAGAAAAATCAAATAGGAGACGACCAACGAATTCGCACAATTGAAGGAAAATATTATCTCTATATAACTGTTAAAATTTACATTTTATAATTAATGTGGAATTTTATATAATCATATACAATTGTGAACAATGTCGGATTGAGCCACGCGATTCTAGATATCTTTTCGAATGTACATTTCACAACTTTATTTCCTTTTCGCGCAACATGCTGTCTGGTGAACAGGCACAGATAGAATCGATTGGCATTCAGAAAAATATCACCTGCGCATTGACCAATAAATGTGCCATATTCTTACCGTTACGAGACACACTACATTTTACGTAATGGCTGAAACTTGAAAAGACGCAGTACAAAACTGTGGATAAAATTTCATATGTTATCTCACTGTAATGTATATAATAATTAATTAAAATATGTTTACGTGTTAAATTATACAAATATAAAGCATTTAGAAAAAAAACATTGAACTGCTACACGGAGAGAATTGTCCTTTAAAATTATATAATCGCGGCGTGAGACAACATGGCATTTTGAAGAACTTTATGCGAGTTTTCTGAAATTTTACCACACTTTTTACTATAAGTAATTATGCCATTATGCCATGTTGTCCCACGATTTTCAGGACAAATTTCAAGAGAAAATTCTCTCCGCGTATAATAACGCATATAATTGTTGTATATGCAGAATAATGTAATTGTGAAGCGTGTATTTGTACACTTTAATGTTAAGGTATTTTGCTGTTATAAGAAAGATAAAGGCCATACGAACGCATTGAACGGAACAATCTTTCATTGCACGAGTGACAGACGGGATCTATAGGATACCTCATGCGTTTAATTAAATCGCGGTGCGTTACGCAAGATGTTAATGCACGGTAATAATTATACCTGTCTGCGTAAGTGTGCGTAACCGCCGACTACGAGGACAGAGCTACGTGAAGGAGGAAGAAAAATTAGGGGTAGGGAGGGTATGCGTACGACTTTCTCCGATGCAAAATATGTGTGCCATCACCTTCTTAGCTCCTTTCCGGAGGCTACGCCTCTCCGCCTTTTCACTTTTCGTGGATCCAGCCCACGCGCGCAATCACGGCGCACAGTCGGACTTAATTAAACTCGCAATCAGGAGCGCCGACCTGATAAGATCGCTCCGAAACGCGCTGGTAGATCTGTCTACCGAGGAGTTTATAATTGCACGTGCGCTCACTGCGATACGTTGATTTGTATTTATTTACGGAATGCACAAACACATTGGTTACCCGTGCACCTATTTGCTGGGAATCGATTCGACACGGTCTAATTTTTCACGTTACACTTTCGTCGAAATCGTTTGATTCAATTTTTCAGCTGAATCTTTTTCAGGAGATAAGAGATTTTACGCTAATACTATTAGGTCTGCCAATTTGGCCAGAACGTATGGGTCTATCGCGGCGCGCATCGTGATAAATGTTGCAGAAAAGTCGCGGTCGTAAAACGCTCGAAGAATGCGGGAGCCAAGCGTCCAGTTATTCCAGCATAGATTTATCGTTCCACTTTCGTGGCTGCCGATCTGCTCCTCCGGCTGCGGCTGCCGGCGCGGCGGCACGGACTTCACCTCGCTGGCGAGTCTAGCCGCCGTTGCAGCTCCGGATTGTAAATCTTCGCAGCGTGGCGAGACGCGGTTGTTATCGTCGCGCGTTACACCCGCTCCACGCTCGAGATCCATATTATTTCTCGCTCCCGACATCGTAATCCAACGCGGTACGTAGTGAGAGATCAGAAAATAATGTACGACGCCTCGATACTTAATTTCTTAATACCCGAGATACGCGGGCTCCTCGCTCGCGTCAGTTGCGCCACTCGACCGCTTTGTCCTCGCCGGAAGTGAGAAGAGATGCGTGAGACATTTTTCGCGATCGCGCATAGCATTCGAGTACTTCTCGAGCTGTGCCAATTTCACGAATTGGAAACCTGCTATCTCGCATTGGCAGCCTATCTCATAACAGGGGACTTTCTTCTATGCAAATATTTTTCTTCATAATCCAAGAGAAAATTATCATCGAGGCAGATTTAGCAACTTGTAATTCCACTGTGTGCGTGAATTTATAAATTAAAAAAAAAGGGATTTAGTTTCCTTCGTAAAGCGACGTATTTTCAAAACTCTT